ATGTTCCAGCCCTTTCAGTCACTAACTCTTCTCCAATCAAAAAACCCCCTGTGACCTGGTACTGGTCCCCTATACAAACAAAATATTTGACCATGAAATAACAAGTAATCATGCATCCCTACCAGCACATAATCAACAGGATGTAGCTGATCTACTAAATCATAATACTGGATGAGTACAATAGTACACAGTATGTAATGGAAAGGGAATTTATGAGACTGGACCTGAACAGGTCTTGAATGTATAGACAAACTGCAGAAGAATTAGGCTCAGATGCATGTGTTTCCACTACTTTATCACCTCTCTCTCTCAAATGACATCTATGATTTATGTGACCATATATAGTTAATATCCCAATGAGGACACTTTTAAGAGTGAAAAGTGGCACTATTAGTAATTAAGTTGGGACAGTGAGTTTAAATGAAGAGTGTCCCATGCAAACCAGGATCTATTATCACTCTATTTATGTCCATTTGACAGAGAAAGAAATGAAAGAAAGCAAGTGTATGGGTTTAGCTTACAATAACATGCATCATAGTCAAGAAATAGTCAGAACTGGGCAGTTACTACATTATAGTCCCATTTAGGAATGTCCTTGGAAGGCCATATAGCATGGACATCCCTCTAGTCAGCAGACTTCTGGGAAGTGGGGGTGCATCACTTCATATAAAAGGAGAGATAGCTTGGGATACACATCTGTGCTGATTCATGGACAATGGCTTATGGGTGGCTGGCTCGCTAATGTGGATGCGGAGAGAAGAAAATCGGAAGATTAGTGACAAGGAATTCAGGGATGAGGAATGGACCTCTCAAAATAAGCAAAGAGTGTAAAAATATTTTTATAAATGTCCACCAGTGGATGGCACTAGGAATGAAGCTGTCACAAATAAGATGGAGCATATGAACTACCCTGTAACCATCAGCCATCCAGGTGCTTTCTCCATAGGCCTATTTACAAAGTGGATACTGACAGTAGGTTGATGGCTGTGTACGGATTGAACAAGAGGCAGTTCCTCTCCTAGGGTTATTTGGCTACTGCTATTATGCTCAACCTGCCAAAAGTAACTGCCAATGTTTTAGTCCCAATTCTGTTTCATTCCCCGGGGGTACTAACTGGTCACCTGGTGACACATTGATTTACTTGGATCCCTTATACCATGTTCATTAGATGGATTTTGTTACAGTAAAAATCAATCTCAACCTATCAGTAGTTTAAACAATAGCAATAGCAGGAAAAACTATTTCTTGTTCATGTTACATGTGTTGGCTGTGGGTCTATTCCATTTGGCTTTTATCCCATTGTTCTAAACTGGGACCCATGATGAAAGAGCTATTCTAATTCGGGATATCATGCAATTGTGACAGAGGGCAAACTCAGAGGAGGCTGAAACAAATCAATTACATAATTCATTGACAGTCTCTACTCTTTGTGTACAAATGGCATAAATCACGTCCACTCATTTTCTTTTGACCAAAACAATTCACATGACTAAGCCCAGTAATGGGGATGGGAAAGTATACTCCATATACGATTTACCAGGGGGATGGGAAAAATCACATAACAAAGGGTGCTGGAATATAATTATATTATGAGAAAAAGAGCTGATATCTATGACAATAATGCAGTCTTCCACAAAGTGAAAGGAAACTACTCCGCCCTACCCCATACACACAGAAGTAGACATCTATTCAGAGACACATTTACCATCTCTATTCACAATTCTTCTTCTAGGACCACCATATATGGAATTACAGAATGCCTTATCAATTGCCACTGTATTCCATACAAAACATCCTTTGATTAAGAGACATATGTTATAGCAATGCAAAGATGGCACAGAGAATTCACAGGTTTTGGCATATCTTTTATCACCGTAACATATTTGATAGCACATTCAATAGCCTACAAGATTGGGATGTCAATGAAAAAGATGTACTACTGTATGCCTCAAATCAGTGGGTGATATATGGCGCAACCTCTGCCATAGATGGGACACATGTGTTTAAGAACCAAAAAGTAGAATCAGGAGTGATATCTCCCACTATTAAAATCCTAACACATTGGAAGGATTTTAGTTCCCCATCTCCATTAGTATGAGCTCTCTGAGTATTTAGATTTCTGTACTCACAAAAGGAGTACTTCCACGAAGAAATATCATCATGATTTCATTAAATCAAAAGGTGAGACTGCACTCTGAACAGTTTGTGTTCACTCATCTTTTAATCCCACAGGCAGAGAGGGGCTAACTGTGTTAACTGAAGTCACTTTCTTCACTCACTGTAGTATAAATTCATCATATCATTTTAATCTAAAGATTAATATTCTTGCATTCTGGGGAAGTTTCTCTATAATTTCTTTGGTTATTTCCTCTTATAATTTCCTCTTTTTCTTTATGAAACTCACAGTAGTTGCATGTTGGGCATCTTAAATTGTTCCTTATTTTTCTTTTGTTCCTCTTCTATTTAAATCTGCTTTTTCCTTGTTATTGCAGTGGAAAGCTGGAAAAGATAAAGCAAGAGGTTTGATTAATAGAAAAGAATTTAACAAATTTTAATATATAGTTGGGCTCTGGAAATAAGAAATATCAATATTCCCAAATATTAAGATTCCAGTTTTTAAGAACTATTTAGAAAAATTTTGATGCATTGGTTGACATTTTAATAGCATAACAAGGATAGAAAAGTAAAGATTCTAAACTCTAATAAAATCCCCTTCCTGTTCAGTTTTCTATTATTTTATTTCTACCTTCTATATTTAAGCTTTATCCTGTATCTCAGTATTTATTTTTATTGTGAAATATATCATACATACAACACAGTGTAAGACATATATATATGTATTTTAAAGAACAATAATAAAGAGAACATATGTATAAGTAAGACCTGAGCCAGAAATAGAACAGCATCATGCCTCAGAAACCCCCTTTCCCAACATAACTTTTCTTCTGTTTCCCACAAAGAGTGGTCTTGTTTCTGCCTTGCTTTATCATGGTTACAATAACCTTGTCCAACGTTGGTGTTGTGTGAAATTGTTCATGTCCAACAAGAGAATACTACATCCTAGCTGTTAAGAGCCAGGCCACCTTTCTGCTGTTTTTAACCTCTTCTTTTTCCAGTTTCCTTCTTTTGTCTAAGGCCAAAGTCAGAAGAGAGGACATTAGTCCAAGATATCCACATCTTTACCATTGCCAAAATTTTGCTGTTGAGAAGGTTGCCCAGATAATGTGTCTGTTTTTGGCCTGGAGTTAGTCCCTTCTGCTCCTATGTTGCAGGATAAGTTGCCTAATTATGACTTGACAATGACTGTGCAGTTGCATTTAAGGCTCTAGATAGGAGGCACAGAATAATGGCAACAGAGGCAGATACCAGGAATAAAATGGTTACGTTAGCTCTTGTAAAAAGCCCCAAAGTGAGGGAATTAGATTACCAAAAAGGGCAATGAAAACATGTCTGAAAATCCAGCTGGGATTCTTGTAGAAGTGGATTGCTTTCTTGAGCCCAGTCATGGACTATTCTATTTGAAGTACATTAGTTTAAAAAGTTTAGCAAGAAGGGTTTGCTAGAGTACAATCTCCCTCTCCTTGACTAAGCAAAGAGGCAATCATGTGATTATAAGGACCCTTATGATTATGTTGGGCTGATAATCCAGAAAAATCTCTCACTTCAAAATCCTAAATCATATCTGCAAAGTCCCTTTTACAGTGTAAGATAAAATATTCTTAGGTGCCAGGGATTAAGACTTGGATATCTTTGGGGGCCATTATTCAACCTGCCATAGTCTGCCTTTTGACCTTGAAGCATTCACATCCTTTTTGCATATAGAACACAACCACCTCATCCTAAAGTCCCAAATAATCCAAACATATTACATTTCAAGTCTAAAATCTCATGTAAGTGTCGTTAGCTCCAAAGTCCCAAATCTCATTATCTAAACCATCTGAATTCCTTGAAAAACTTCTCTCCATCTGTGGACCTGGTAAATAAGTTTTATTTACTTCCCAAATAAAAGTGGGGGACAGGCACTGAATAACAGTTATGCATATTCTCATTCAAGAAGAGAAAATGAAGGGAACAACAGAATTACCAGTTCCAAGTAATTTCAGAATCTAACAAGACTGAATCTATTGGTTTCAAGGCTTGGGGATAATCCTCTGTGGCCCATGGCTCTGCCTTCAGAGTCATCCTATTTTCATGAGAGGTTAACACCTGTTTACAGTCAAGCAACCTTATCTTAAAAACTACATGCATAATATACAAACATATATACATTATAATGCAAACAACATGGAGTTGTATGAATAAACATCAAATAGTCTTATTATTTGTGCCACTGCAATCCCAGCTACTTCACACTGGATTTATCAGTCGTTTCTTATTTTTCAAGACATTTTATATGACTTTACATATATGTGCATATATGAATATATATATAAAGAAAGATGGAGACAATTTGTCCTGGTATTTTAAATATTATAAGAAGATGGCATTTGACCAGTTTATTTGCTAATGTCTTCTCTGTGGTCTACAGAAATTTAATTTCCATAGAATATGCCAAGACTAGTCAAGAATTAATTTTTTTAGGAGATTCTAAAGAAAATGTCATGATTTCCATATTTATAAAACATTTCAAAATAGTTCAAAGTATCCTAATTTCCAGCTCAGTCTTTTTTTTTTTTTTGCAATAATCATACTTTGCCCCCTTTTTGCCAGCATCTCACCTGCTCATTCATCTCTACTTCAAGGACAATTTCTAGTATGCAGAGGTAGAATATATCATGGATACATCAACTCCCAACAAGAAGTAAGACTGCAGTATTCATGATACATTCCATCTATTTCTTTAACAGCAGAGGCCCAATAATTTAAAATAGAATTGGCAGCTAACACAGGAGTGTGAAATCAGTGTTGGCACCAACAGAAGAGTTTTCATTTCGGTTTTTAGTCACACTCTCAGTTTCTTCTCTCACTGCCCTGGTGTAAAATATTCCTTTCTTTTTTCCCTTTAACAGGTGTTACTAAGTGTCAATTTTCACGCTATGTTCTTTGTCGAATTTCTGAAAGATGTTTAACCTTAACAGAGATTTTGAAAAAAGGATTCTCTGTGGGAACTAAATGTTATTTTACATCAGTCACATCAGGCTTCTTATGGTTATTTTCCATTTTGTGCAATCTATAGAGGTCGTAAGCATCAAAAAGTGAAAGAGCTATGTATTCTAACAATGTTGTCTGTTCAGTTTGCCATTTCCACTGCATTTACATTCTTCAAAAGTGTTGAATGTAACTTAATTCAAGTTCTCATAAACAGAATGTGTTGTATTGAAAGAAAAGCTTAATCAAGAATCTAAAACATCTTTGCTATTATCTATGCATTTATTCTGTTATGTGAGAAATACTGACCTTGGGGAATAGGGGGAATTTATTGGAAGGATCTATGTATCAAATTTAGTAAGTAGAAGTAAAGCAGACATATTAGTAAATTCAAAAGAAGCCATAAAATTCTGCCAAAAACTTATGGAGAGAAAGAAATAACTCAAGGAGGGAAAACAAGCAGAAGCATGGATAGCTCTTTTAATCTTTAAATTAAGAGGAATGAACAACACTAAAAATTTATCCAAATGGAATCAAGTTCCCTAATGTCTGCACTAATACATGTAAGTGAATTACATAATACTTAGACTGAGACAGAATCAGACATAAGCCAGGAAACTCCGCACCCTGGAAAATAGAAAATTTAAGTGCTGCATAAATGGTTGACCATAACTGAGAGGAGGCGGAGACTCTTCATGGGCCACGTCAGGGTCCACAGCCAGGACTACGGTCTGATGCCTGTGACCTAACACATGAGTGGGCGAGACTTCTCCCAGGACTTTCGGCTATGATGATGGTGACAGAACCAAAACCAAACAGTGCTATAGTCTAGTCCCCAGGGATATAGAGCTGTTTCTGGGTCTATAGCTAGGACCACAGTCAGCAAGTCAGCCACTTGGGTGCAGACTTGTCTTCTCAAAATGACTTTCCTTGTTTTTGGACTTTACCAGGATTCTGCCATCTCCTACTTGGATCTCACGGCTCCCATAAACACACTTTTGTCTGTGGAAGGATGCCAAATTCTTGTTGTTGAAATGAGGCTACAGGGGTTATCTTACACAACCATCTTGCTGAAAAGAAATTTCTCAAATTTAAAATAGTCTTCTTTAATTTATAAAATAAATGTGAATAAATTTAACACAAGATATTCAAAACTTTACATTAAAAAAATTAAAAACCACTAAAAACTTTGGGACATTGTGCTGTACAGCAGAGACTAACATACTGTAATTGACTGTACTTCAGTTAAAAAAAAGAATAGAATTAAGAAAAATGTAAATAAATGGAGATACATGCCAAGTTCCTGGATTAGAAGATGAAATATTTTTAAAATATCAATTATTCCCATATTGATTATAAATTAAAGCAATTCTAAACACAATTTCAGCAGGCATTTTCTCAAATAGAAATTTCCAAGCTAATTCTAAAATATATACAGAAAAAAAATTTTTAAATTCAACTCAGTGCTAAATCACTCTTGAAAAAGAAGGACAAATTTGGATTGATATTGTTCTCCTAAACTTATTAAAGGTATAGTAGTGAAAACAGACTTACACATATATGGTAAATAATTTTTGAGAATGATACTAAGGAAATTCAATAGGAAAAGGTTAGGGTTTTTTTTTAAATAAATATGTTAAAAACTGGATATTCATGTAGAAAAGAAATGAATCATGGCTCTTATCTCACAACACACACACATAGAAATTAATTTGAGATGGACAACATTAAAGTTAAAATTTTCAATTTTTGAAGAAAAAAACATAAACTTTGCCATTTTAGGGGTAGGCAGAGATCTTTCAGAAGGACACAAAGGGCACTGGCCGTTAAAAAATGGATACATTCTTCAAAATTAAATTTTTTCAATCAAAATATACTTTAAGAAATGAAAAAGTAAGCCACAGAACAGAAGAGTGGAAGAAAATGTTTGAGATTATAAATTATATATATAATTGGCTCTTAAACAACACACAAGTGAAAAATCTATTATAACTTTTGATTCCCCAAAACTTAACTACTAATAGCCTAATGTTGACAGCAGTCCGTACCAATAACATAGTCTATTAATATATATTTTGTGTTATATGTATTGTATATTATATTTTCACAATGAAATAAACTAGAGAAAAGTGATGTTATTAAGAAACTCATAAGGAAGAGAAAATACACTTACAATACTGTACTTTATCAACAGCATAAGTTTAAGTTGTCTGTTTACAAGATGAATCATCTTATCAATAAAATATTAATCAGTCAATCTAAGAAAGAAATGGAAAATTTTATCTGAGCCAAATTGAGGATTATAACCTGGGAAGCAGCCTTTCAGAAAGCCTGTTAGAGGTCAAATCACAGTTATGTAAGTTTTTCAGACTGAGGGCTGTGCATTAAATGACATATTATTGACAATTTAC